GGGGGAGTACTTTAGTGAACTCTTAAATGCGGGAGGAGACCAGAGGCTAGTTCTTGATGAGTTGGGACATCCTGGGGCATCTCGTGTGTATTGCCGGCGCATTTGCTTGGAAGAGGTGGTTCGGGCTCTCCGCGTGATGCGTAATGGGAGAGCTGTGGGACCAGATGAGATTCCAGTGGAGTTTTGGAAGCATGCGGGTCGTGATGCGTGGGTTTGGTTAACCAAACTCTTCAATGTTATCCTCCGGACAGCATGGATGCCTGATGAGTGGAGGGAGAGTCTCTTGGTCCCTCTGTTTAAAGGCAAAGGTGACATTCAGAGCTGCGAGAATTACAGAGGCATCAAACTGCTTAGCCACACCATGAAGGTTTGGGAGCGAGTTATCGAGTATAGGGTGCGGAAAGAGGTTTGCATCTCGGAGAACCAGTTTGGTTTCATGCCTGGCAGATCGACTACAGAGGCCATTCATCTCGTGAGAAGGTTAATGGAAGAGTATAGGGCTAGGAAGAAGGACCTTCATATCGTGTTTATTGACCTTGAGAAGGCGTATGATAGGGTGCCAAGGGAGGTCTTATGGAGGTGCCTTGAGGCGAGAGGAGTGCCCATCGTGTACACTCGCGCGATCAAGGATATGTACAATGGGGCTATGACCAAGGTAAGGACTTCCGGGGGCGTCTCAGATTCCTTCTCGGTAGGGATGCGGTTGCACCAAGGGTCTGCTCTTAGCCCTTTTTTGTTCGCCTTGGTGATGGACGTTCTAACTCAAGGTGTTCAAGACGGGGTCCCATGGTGCATGCTTTTCGCGGATGATATTGTGCTTATCGACGACACGCGTGAGGGACTAAACGATAAGTTGGAATTATGGCGCCTTGCCCTTGAGACCAAAGGATTCAGAAAAAGTAGGAACAAGACTGAATACATGGAATGTCGTTTCAGTGGCCGGGATACAGAATCAGAGGTGGAAGTCAAGATTGACTCTCACCTAGTACCTAAGGTAGATAGGTTTCGTTATCTTGGCTCAGTAATTCAGGCGGATGGGGAGTTAGATGCGGATGTTGGACATCGGGTTGGAGTGGCTTGGGCCAAATGGCGGTTAGCTTCAGGGGTGTTGTGGTATCCGAAGATTTCGACTAGAATGAAAGGTAAGTTCTATCGATCCGTAGTCAGACCTGCTATGTTATATGGGGCAGAGTGTTGGGCGGTTAAGAAGACTCATGTGCGTCGTCTGCATGCGGCGGAGATGCGGATGCTACGATGGATGTGCGGGAAGACAAGGTTGGATAGGATTTCGAATGAGGTTATCCGACGTCAAGTAGGTATGGCACCGGTGGAAGACAAGTTGCGGGAAGCGAGGTTGAGGTGGCTTGGCCATGTGAGACGGCGGGATGCTGACGCCCCTGTACGGAGATGTGAGAGGATTACAGTTATCGGGGAAGTAGGGGAAGGGGTAGACCTAAGAAGAATTGGGAGGAGGTGATAAGACAGGATTTAGGACTTCTCGACCTGACTGAGGATATGGCCCTAGATAGGAACCTTTGGAAAACTAGGATTAGAGTAGCTGGATAGGAGCTCGGTGTTGTAGAGGTTGTTTTGTAGTGTGTTGTATTTGTTGGGAATCTTTTGCTATTGTTTGTACTTGTTGCTTGTACTTGGTGCCTTATCTGTGCTATACTGTGTTCTCTTCCATATTTTTATGCAGGTGGAGCCGGGGGTCTCTTGGAAACAGCCTCCCTACTTCCGAGTAGGGGCAAGGTCTGCGTACACACACCCTCCCCAGACCCTACTGTTGTGGGAATCAACTGGGTTGTTGTTGTTGTTGTGTAACTAGCTACCCTTGAAGTCATTGAAATATCCTGTTCAAGAAGATTTGAGGATATAAAAGGAGTGCTCATCTGCTCCACTACTCCCTCTACTTTACTCACTTGGTCAATCCTTAAAGATCCTGAGCCTTTTTTCTCTCCAGGTAGTCTTCACACCATCTGCTGTTTCCGTCCCTTCTTGGAGGTTTAGAGCTTCTTTTAGTGCTTTTACAAAAAGCCTAATGCCTGCTGATTCTCTGCCAACCGGGATACATATACATGACATCTGACATCTGCACTGACCGTTACAAATTTTCCATATATATATATATATATATATATATATATAGAGAGAGAGAGAGAGAGAGAGAGTCTGAAATAACACCAATGGATTCTACACCAATTGCTTACTCCAGTTTGTTTGGGGCAACTACAATACCCCGTTTTTAAAAATGATAGATCCTACCCCCCCCCATCCCTAACAACCCCCTACCAATGCCCTGGCAGTATACTGCCAGGGTAGGGAGGGGGCAAGGGGTGGGCTGGGGTGGGTAGAAACTATCATTTTTACCACTAAGTGTAAGCAATTGACACCAATAGCAGTGGTGTCATTTTAGACTTCCACATCTCCTCCCGATAGGGGTGTTCATGTTTAGGTCTGGACCGGAAAAACCGACCGAACCGGATAGTTAGGTCTAGACCAAACCCGGACCGAAATGATATCGGGTCGGTCTTCGGTCCAGATTATTTCTGATTTCGGGTTTCAGTCCGGTCCGATCTATACCCAAATACCAATCGATCTAGACCGACAGACCGATAAACCTATTACTCTGTAATCTAATTTGTAATGCATCAAGCACTCAACCCATCAACCACTCAACCCTATCTTATTTTCTTCGCCTCACAGCCACAAATTGCCGTCTCCCTCACCTCTCTGTCTCAATTATCGCTGTCGCCCACTCTGCCATCTCCCCATTAATCGCCGTCACCCTCTCTGCCATTTGCCCTCCTCACAGACTGAATCGTCGTCATCCTCACCACTGAGTCTCACTCATCGCGGGAATCAGGGTGTCGATCTCAGGCGCAAATCGCCGTCTCCCTCTCTGTCATCTGTCATCCCCTGAATATCCACCTTCTCCGTAACCAGTCAGTCCACTGTTGTCTCTCTCTCACTCTTCTGTTTCGAACAACGGCACAACGAACAGGTAATTTTCAATTAACTGATCAATAAAGAACCAAATTTTTTAAAGGCTTCTTCTTCCTTTTAAAGGATCCTAGACTCTGATTTTTATTTGTTTATATTTCTGCACTGCTATAGTCTGGTTATTTTTGTTTATATTGCTCTAACTTGTATATATTGCTATAGTCTGGAAATTTTCAATTGCTTCTGCAATTTATCAATGGGTTGCTTTGAATATGGACAATTACATTTTGGAACATGGACAATTACATTTCAAGGTTGGTTTCCTACTTCATTTTGGAACATGGACAATAACATCATTGCTGATTTTTTTAATCGTGGTATGTAAGACCTACAAGTTTAGCTGAGAAATTTTCATAAACGATTCTTCAACAATTTTTTTTATATACATTCCACAACTTTAAGATATTAAGTTCATGTGTCACTACTTCAAAATCAATCTATATTCAATTTTTTTACTCAAATGTTGGTTTCAACATATCCTCTATAAAGAAATGATCATGAAATACAAAAATAGTCATTAAATATCGAGCAGCACGCGTGTAATATTTTAGAATTTGAGATTAAAAATCGAGGAGCACGAGTCTTACATATCCGACACTTTTGATTTTGTGACCAGTGAGGTCATGAATGGTGGAATGAATCTAATATGTAACTCTCCCATTTCCGGATTTAAAGAATGCAAAAATAGATGATGATTTGATCTTTGTCACGGAATAAAGAACTCAATTACAAGTAATTATTTAAACTTGCATTTTCATTTCAATGTTATTAGTACTATTGTTTTTCTTCTTTTTGTAATCTTTTGCAATTTGTAATCTTTTTGTAACATATCCTTTATAGGCTTGTAGCTTAAAATAATAAAGTTTATTCTTATATTGTTCTTCAAATCTTGTTTCCAATGCATGGCTCAATGTTTGCAGGTGAATGGTGGCTGATAGAATTTAGGATTGGGTATGGACAACTGGATTAGGCAATAAGACACTTGGGCTGAACCACATTAAAAGATTGAATCAATCAATTAGTTGGTTCAACTCAAGAGCTTATATACCGATTATTTTCCTCACAATTTTTCCGATGTGGGATAATCTTAACACTCCCTCTCAAGTGGACAATCGGGCCATTTTCAATCTAACCGGTTGACCACTTGCAAATGAACTCCCATTCCCTTGACTTTTTTTTGAGCGCCAACACCTAAAGGACTACGAGTCGCTGGGTATGGACATCCAGACGAGCAATCGTGTTAAACGGGCCACAGGCCGTAGAGTACATACTTCATACGGACAATTGGGCTAAAGACAAATGGGCCGCTAGGAATGAACGTCTAGACGGACACCTTGACAAACGAGGTGGGCCAAAACCTGCTCCGATACCATGATAGAATTTAGGATTGGGTATGGACAACTGGATTGGGCAATAAGACACTTAGGCTGAACCACATTAAAAGATTGAATCCAATCGATTAGTTAATTCAACTCAAGAGCTTATATACCGTTTATTTTCCTCACACTTTTTCCGATGTGGGATACTCTTAACGGTGGCGTTTAGTGCTGGCTAGTGGCTACCGAGTTTAGGGTGGCTATTTCAATTTCTCAACACTTTCAGGTTTTGAGAATGGATGCCATTTCTCTTCCATTTTATTTATGTTCAAGTGTGCATTAGTGACAGTGGAGAGCAAACATTTATTCCCTGTCTTTTTCACTCAATTTTGAAGTTGCAATACATTAAATTGTGTGAAATGTTTGCAAATTTTTGATTTTTAAAACTGATCAAATTGAGGTGTAGTTTCAAAGTGATTTATACATTGTTTTTTGTTGTGCCTTCTGGACCGATTCGGTAAATAAAATTTTGTTTTGGTCCGGTCCAAGCCCGATAACAATTAGGTCCGGTCCAGTCTTAGACCGATGAACACTCGTACCTCTTGATGCCATCGTCCCAATACCATTCTCTTTCTGGATCTAGGTTGTGTGTGTGTGTGTTGTGCGAAAACTTCCCAAGGTCAAATGACATTGTTAAAGTCTATCCCACATCGGAAAGTTGAATAGAAAAGTTATCGGTATATAAGCTCTTGAGTTTAACTAACTAATCGATTGGATTCAATCTTTTAATGTGGTTCAGCCCAAGTGTCTTATAGCCTAATCCAGTTGTCCATACCCATCCTAAATTCTATCATGGTATCAGAGCAGGTTTTGGCCCACCTCGTTTGTCAATGTGTCCGTCTAGATGTTCATTCCTAGCGGCCCATTTGTCTTTAGCCCAGTTGTCCGTATGGAGATGTAACCAACGGCCTGTGGCCCGTTTAACACGATTGCTCGTCTGGAAGTCCATACCCAGCGACTCGTGGTCCTTTAGGTGTTGTCGCTCAAAAAAACAAAGTCAAGGGAATGGGAGTTCATTTGCAAGTGGTCAACCGGTTAGATTCAAAATGGCCCGATTGTCCACTTGAGGGGGAGTGTTAGAGTCTATCCCACATTGGAAAGTTGAATAGAAAAGTTATCGGTATATAAGCTCTTGAGTTTAACTAACTAACCGATTGGATTCAATCTTTTAATGTGGTTCAGCCCAAGTGTCTTATAGCCCAATCTAGTTGTCCATACCCATCCTAAATTGTATCAGACATCAATAGCAATCCATCAGTTAGTTTACTTTGCCACCTTTGATAAGGTGAGACTCCGATATATCCTTGCCGAATATATGAACTCCTCACAATCGTGTCCCTCAATTAGTGAAACAGACAATTAGTATGCTTTGATTCTACGACATGCAATTTTTGGTATAATCCTCCAATTCTAGGCTTGGAAAATCCTTGGTCGAGTTATTCGAGTGGTTTAATGTGGGCTTCATCTTTCAAGCATCAAATTCGTCAGTCTCTCGAATGTGAGGTGGTAGCATTAGTGGATATGTATGCATAAGTCGGATTGGTATGGCAACAAGTTAATTGTTGGCAGTGGCAAGGTAGTGGACAATGATGGAGCAAGCTTTGGAATTTGCTGGCAGAGGAGTTAGTTTAGAGAGTAGGGGTTGTGGCTGGTCAACTTAAAGCTGAAACACTGAACAGATTTGTCAAGAGACAGGAGGTTGATGATTGGGATGAGGAGCTAGTTTGTACCGCCACTCGGAGTGCTACCAGAGATGTGGAGCTTGGCCATGAGGACCCGAATATGGTCTTTTGCTTGTCCACTCTCACAAGTAATGCCTTCAAGGATTCAATGGTAGCAAGTTTCCATCTTCTAAATGTATGATTGCAAATCCCGAATATAATTCTACATAATGGAAGCAAGATGGTATGTTTCCTTGCAAATCTACAGTTGTCCTGCGGCCAATGTTTGAAAAGGCGGAACGCAAACCCGCCTCAAGGCGCGCATCATAACTTTTTCCGGAAAATAACACCCTGGTGCAAATCCTGATTCACACAATTAGCCTTTCTACGCAATTCTCTAAAAGGCATACACCATGGGGCGTACACGATTTCCGAGCTATTAAGTGTATATATTTTAAAATTACCTTTGTTGATTTCCCTAATTGCTGTGATTTCCGAGCTACGATTCATCTTCTTCATCGCATCAAGTCGACCGTCTCCATGTGCGATTCATCTTCGATCTTCGCGTCTCTGTTTTTTTCTCGGGGAAAGGTAGGTTTTTTTTCATTCGCGTCTCTTCCTTTTTTTGGCAAATGCAAATTGATGGATGATGGGTGGTGCTTTTGCTCTGCTTTTTACAATTGTCCAATTGATGGATGATGGGTGGTGCGATTTTTTTCTTTTTTTTCATCTTTTTATGATGTACACTAGCATTCAATTGGTGTTTTTTATGAGTTTATGATTGGTTTTTTTTCAAGTAGTTGGATACTGACTGTTAATCTCCTTTTTTTCTTCTTTTTTGATAATTGTTGTGCTAATTGTTCTGTTGTTTTGTTTCTAAGATAAATTATTGCATAGTATTGTATTGTTTTTTTTGGTTTTTCAGAATATTGCTTAAATGTCGGACCCAGCATGGAAGTTGGGTGTTGACTCAACACCCAACCAAGGACAAAAAAACAACAAATATGTAAACTGCAATTTTTGTAAAAAAGATGTCAAAGGCGGGATTAGTCGATTTAAGCATCACCTTGTACTTAGGTTCCTGATGAAGTTAAACAAGAGATGTTATCTACTTTGAATTTGATCGTACAAACGAAGCGGGTGAACTTGAGAAATCGGGAGGAGCTCATTGATAGTGACGCGTACTACCGAAATACAGACACAATTGCTGGTTCATCAAGCGGTGGTAGCAACTCCAATAGAGGAGTGTGCAGTCCAAGGGATAGATTTGTTGTGGATGTTAATGTTGATACTCTTGATATTATTCCAAGCAAACCAATCAGCAAAAGGGAAGATAGAGATAGAGTTTGCCTAGATGTGGGAAGATTTTATATTGAGAATGGTATTCCATTTCATGTTGCAAATTCCCCTTCATTCATAAACATGTGTCCAGCAATCGGAAATTTTGGCAGGGGTTTTAAGCCACCTACACCATATGAGTTGAGCCATTGGATCTTGGATGAAGAGGTAAAAACACAAAAAAATTGTTAATGACGTGAAAAAGACGTAGACACAAACCCAGGTGTCCATACTTTCTGATGGGTGGAAAGATATACAAGGACAACAGTTAATAAATATTCTTGTTAACAGTCCTTATGGCACTGTTTTCTTAAAAACTGTTGATGCTTCTCGTCATGTAAAAGATGTGGATATGTTGTGTAATCTATTTGGTGAGGTTGTAGAAGAGGTAGGTGAAGACATTGTGACTCAGATTGTTACAGATAATGCTTCGAACTATAAGGCTTCCGATGAGAAGTAATCTGAAAAACGAAATCAACTGTGGTGGACACCATGTGCGGCACACTGTATCCATTTGATGCTAGAGGACATTGGGAAGCTTCCTCAACACAAGAATGCATTGGTGAAAGCAAAGAAGGTAATGCATTTCGTTTTTTCAGTCTATAATGTTTTTTCAACCAAAGATTCCATTACCTTATCATTCTCTTATACTCCCTCCGTCCAAGTTTAATCTTCCTGCTTTGACCGGGCACAGAGTTTAATAAAATTTGAAATTTACATTGACTTTCCAAAAATACCCTCCACGTTACCCCACTTCCCCATCCATACCTATCCTGCCTAAACTACTCCCCCCAACCCAACACAACTGGCCAGAACAAAATTCCGGCGACCCAAATCGATCAAATTTCCGGACAGAGAAAGTTTTGCTCAACCTCAACATTTTAGGTTTCTCATGGGCATCTTTTCAAGCCCAAATCGAGTGGTTCCTGCACCAGTTGGTAGAATAGAAGAAGATTTGAAGATGAAGAAGATTTGAAGAAAGAGATCCTTCCTTGCCGCTGAACTCCTTACAGATCTGAATCGGATTTCTAAGATCTGACAAAGATATGAGCGATCAAATTGGAAAGAAGAAAAGACATAAGAAGAGATGAAGATGGAGGACGGCTGGACCTAATCGGAAGGGTGGAGGTGAGAAGAAAAGAAAGAAGAAGAAGAAAAAAAGGTCGGTGGAATTGGAAGGAGGGAGAAGAAAAGAAAGAGGAAGAAGAAGGAAATAAGAAAAAGAAGAAAAAGAGGAGAGAAGAAAAATCAGAAAAAAGAGAAGAAAAAGGAGAGATGAAAATCGGAAGTTTCTGGAGAGAAGAAGAAGAAAGAACAGAAGAGAAAAGGAGAAGAAAGAGAAAAGGGGGGCTGCGTCTGGGAGGAAAGAGAAAAAGAAAAAAGAAATAGGAGGTAAGGGTACTTAAGTCATTTTAACAAAGAAAATTTACTAAAAAGGGAAATGGGAAGATTATTTGTGGACGGGCCGAAAAGAAAAGTGACTACTTTAAAGTGGGACGGAGGGAGTATTATATTTACAAATTATCATAGGTGACTCATTACATATATTATCACGGATGGTCATTGGCATTGATGTCAGAGTTTACAAAACGATATCTTGTTCGTCTTGCGGCTACAAGGTTTGGTACGGCCTATCTTACACTTGAAAGTATGCTAGGCGTTAAAGAGCAGTTGGAGGAAATGTGTGTTTCAAAGGAATGGAATGCACACCATTTATCCAAAACACAAGAGGCAAAAGATGTGAAACAAATAATTCTCCTAGATAAATATTTCCGGCCGAGCGTGCAGCATTCAGTCCAAACAACAAAGCCATTGTTTAAAGTGTTGAGAATGGCAGATTCAGAGAAGGTACCGGTATGGGGTTTGTATATGGTTGTATGGTTCGAGCAAAGGAAGAAACTTCCAAGGAATTTAGGACGGGACTTTGGCTCTATAAAGTGATTTGAAAAATAATTGATAAGAGGTGGGAAATACAATTGCATCAGGATTTACATGCTGCAGCTTATTACCTCAATCCTTGATATCAGTATGATCCGAACATGTCTACACACCCAGAGGTGAAAACAGGATTATTTAGATGTATGACTAAGCTATTTCCTGATCCAAAGATCCTAGAAAACTTCAATTGCAAATGGATGACTTTCGAGAGAAGCGGGAATTCTTTGGACATAAGGTAGCACAAAACACTGTGCATAAACAAAGTCCTGGTAAGTAAATTGCTCTTACCAAATATCATTACCGATTTTAAATAATATGTGTGTGTGTGTGTGTGTGTGTGTATTGTGAATACACCTATTTTTCATAAATAATAGAGTTGATTGGTGGACCCAATATGGAGATGAGACTCCTAAACTAATGGCATGTGCGATCAGAGTCTTAAGTCCTACATGTTCCTCATCTGCGTGTGAAAGAAATTGGAGCACATTTGATCAGATATACATATCCACATAATATTTTTAAGAATTTACTTATTTCAGTATATGACTCACTACATTTTATTTTGTCATCCATCGACTTACACAAATTTAATTTGTAGATCCATACGAAGAAGAGAAATTGCTTCCATACTAAGAATTTGAAAAAATGGTTTATGTGATGTACAACAAAAGATTGAAAAGTAAATGGATGAAGAAGGCATCACTGAAAGATGAGGAAGATCGGTTGGTGTTGGATGAAATTCCTTCAGATGATGAGTGGGTTGTTCATGAAGCTGATATGATGGTCGAGAGTGATGATGTTCATGGTGATGGTCATGAAGTTCATATTCAAGGTGATACTGCTAGTAAAACAATCACCAACCCAAGTAGCCAGGGAAGAAATCAAGGACATCCTTCAAAAAGGCAACGCCATGGGAAAAGAAACTCACTACAGCTTATTGATGAAGTTGAAGAAGATGAACAAGATGATATTATGTTTCGAGACCCTATTAGAGAAGATTTTCTCATCAATTCTGAGGAAGAGAATGAAGGAAATGTAGCATCTTTGGATCCTAATTTCAAGTCGTTCATTACACACAGAAGAACTTTTTTTCAGTTCTTCAATTTAAGCTCATCACTTCGAGCAATATTATGTCTTATTCCATGTCAAACTTTGTTCTGTTTGTGATGTATTACTTTGACAATATACTTTTCTCTTGTTTTTTGGATTATTTATGTTATACATTATGTTCTATCTTTAGTTTTAAATTGTTTTATGGATATTTTTCAATTTAAAAATTGAGGCTTACACCTCAAAATGCCTCGAGGCTTACACAATACGCCATGAAATGAAAACACCTCGAAATTGCAATACGCAATTTCGAACATTGCCAGCGACATAGACCAAGGGAACAGATCGAATAGAGAAAGAAGATGTAATGCCCTGAAAAATACCCTAGAACTTAATACTCCCTCCGTCCAGAAATAATCTTCCCATTTCTCCTTTTTTTCTCGTCCGGAAATAATCTTCCCATTTCTAATTTTAACCCCAATTCTTCCAAAAATACCCTTCTCGTTAAATAACCTCTTTCTTTCTTTTTTCCTTTTCTTCCTATTCTTCTTTTATTTTTTTCTTTCCTCCTTTACCTCACCATCTTTTTTTCACGGCATAATCTCCTCCATCTCCTCGTCAGTTTCTTCCATCCATTTCCATCCTCCTCCTTTCTCATACCTTCTCTTCTCCTCTCTCTCTCCTTTGATTCTTGCTTCTCTTCATTCTCTTCTCCTCTCGCTCCCCCTCCGTCTTTCTTCCCTCCTCCTTTCTTCCAGATCTGGGCTATGGCAGCGATTGTGGCGGCTAACGTGATGGTGAGTGTAGATCTATACTACTCATTATTTCTTATAGATCTACACCACAACCCTTTTCTCCTTGATATTTATTTTAGATTTGTGCCATGGTAGCTGTGATGGTGGTACAGGAGGCAATGTTGGGGTTGACCATGATGGTGGAGATGCCAACAGTGGTGGGGCTGGCGGCGATAAAAGGACTAATGGTGGTGGAAAGGGTTGGGCTAGCGGTGGTGGTGGGGGCTAGGGTAGATGGTTGGAGCACGGGTGGTAAAGGGGTAGTGGTGGGGCTCAAATTGACAGTGGGAGCTGGCGAAGGTGTGAACCAGGGACGGCCAGCTTCCTTGTTCATTCCCTAGCCCTTTTAAGTGCATTTTAGCCATTTCAACTCATAAGTCAACCATTGAAAAAAATGAGAAAAAGTTCAAATGGGAAGGTTTTTCCCGGACGGAGGGAGTAATGAATTTTGAATAAGTAAATCTAATTTTTTGTAAAACCGGAACAGTGCTAAGAATAAATTATTTTTAAATGTTAACTTTAATGGGAAAATTCATACTCGAATTGATGGTTTCGGGGAGATGAATTCAACGGTATATTCCGCGGCGAATTTGAGGTACAAAACAAAGCGACTTAACAGTCCCAAGAATGAAAAGATAATAAAATAAAGGAATAAAATCAAAGTATGTCCTAAAATTTACGCCTACATGAAATGCTACAAAGCCCAAGATCCAATTCTACCTTTATATATATACACACACACACACTCTTTGACCTTCATTGTCGCCACACACCAATGTCACCATCCATCATCTTCTTTCTTCTGCCGCCATGCCAGGGAGACATCGCGAGAAAGTTCACCGGAAATTTCAACTTGGATTTCAATTCTTCTTTCATTGAATCAAGGCGAGTGTGGTTTATCTCTCGTTAGAATTGATTCATAGATTAGAATTCGTTAGTATTTTTCATTCAATTGACGTTGAATTTGTGGTTATGATATTGAGTTGTGTGATTGATTGTGTTGACATTGAATTTGGGTTTGGGGTAAATGAATTCGATTTGGATTTGAATTGGGATGTTACTGTGCGATGTTCCTCTTTGTTTCCCTGCCGCCTAGTACTACGTAGCTCTTCTGTTCTTATTCTGATTCTGCTCTGTTCTTCTCTTTTCTATTCTGCTCTTCTTCTGCCTCTTTTTTTTCTGGTCTCGCTGTGATCTCGCTGCTGCTTTGTGTCAGGTCGGCAGTGCTATCCTGTTGCAGACAGTTTGGCTAGGGGGAGACATTCTCTACGTTTTGGTTTGCTGGCTTTTGGTATTAGTTTTGAAATCAAGTTTTCCACGATACAAATCTTGATTACCTTATGCAATGCAATAGGGTTTGGATTAAGAGGGGAGACATGCTTAAGATTTAATATGAAACCTATTGGTAAAATTGAATTGGGATTATGAAATAGGTCACCTGGTATACATAGGGGACTCTTAACAATAGTCACCTAAATCGCGGTACGTTTTGGTACAGGTACACGGTACGGGCACGGAACTCGCTAGAGGAAACAAATTTGGTACGAAGGGGGGTAGGTTCATTTCGGTACGAAGCGTTACGGTGTACCATGTATTCGGTTTGGTGTACCAAAAGTCAAAACATAAGTAAACAAAAATAGATAAGATGAGCATAAGTGCATAACATAACAAAATACAATAGAAAAACAAAAGACTGTGTGTTCAGCTTCAAAAACAAGAATAACATTTCAGATTGTTCAACAACTTCAACTTCATCATCAACATAACTGTGTGTTGCTAATATGGGTCTTACTATCATCTTGCTTATTATAGAATTTATTATTTTTCCAAAAGCCATTGAAAAAAGAGAAAAATTGAAAGTAGAGGAATAGAGGTTGAGTTGTGAGTGGTGAGAGTGTGCAGTGCTTAGAATATACGAGTAGTATGAAATTTAATTTTAAATTGAATTTTGAAGTAATTATTAAAGGAGTTATTTTTTTAGTAAGACATTGGAAAGTGGAATTTTAATACGTTCCTGGGAAGTGGGAACTACTCAATTTACGTACGTATAGGAACAAGAAAGTCGCCAATTGGAAGAGGGAAAATTGAATTGGACTGGTTCGACGTACCGCCGGCTATTGGTACGCCATTATTTCTGACTTGGTGTGTCGTACCAAGGGGCTGGGGACGATTTCAGTTGGCTTTTGGTACGCAGTATCAGCTTGATCTGGTAAGTTGTACCACATCAAAGGGTACGCCATATCGCCTACGATCGGATCTCTATCGAATTGCGATTGGGTACGCCACGTACCAATACGGAAGTCTCGTCTTAGGGAGCGAATTCTGTAACTATGCTCTTAACTAAACTGAGTTGTTATGAATACACAGACCAAGGATTTGAAATTTAAGGTCATGTAGGTGTCGGTGTACACTTGACGGTCTCCAAGGTTAAAGTGTATGTACGAAAGTCCACGACCTGCCTCGGCACCTCCGCGGTAAGAGCTCCAACCTGTCCAATTGGACACCTTCTATTGGATTACAAGCTTGGCCTCTTGGCACCTCCTAGAGTGTCTATGACTAGTGTGTTTAGTTAGACTTTAGCCGTATGTGTTATGTATAATATTATAATGCAAGGATCTGAAACAAACGAACGATTGATAAAGCTGTTGAATAATTGCAATTGTTGTTCTAAAGATATTGTACGATTATATGTTAATTGTCTATGAGTTAGTAATAGCGTTAGATACTTCCACACTCCATATTGGATGACAATGAGGCGTAACGCTAGGAACTATTGGATGGCCCGAAGCTGTTTGATTTAAATTAAATATATTTTTTTGAATTTGTTTATTTAAATTACAAGGATGTTGATGTTGTTTTTAATGGCTTTCGCAATGTTTGTATTATTTACTCCGATCAAACTATGATTGTTCTAAAATAAATATGAATGAATGTTATATTTTTAAATGTTTTTAAAATATTGTGCATGAGAATACCGAATTAGTAGCAACCCAATTCGCTAACTCGTTGGTTCGGGTTACGCAGGTTGGGGTGTTACAGAAGAAGAGAACAAATGTTTTGGAGCTCTAACTACCATATTTATAACAATTCCAAGACTCCCTTCGACAAGTAGTTAAAAGAGTTTGTATGATAATGTTATAGCTTCACGCAAATAATTGACCATATCAAAATGGGGCATATTAACTCATTTGCTGCTTACTTACTATGAAGTTTTGAATAGTAAAAGCAGCAATGCATCAAGCATCTAACGGAAACAGTTGTGTGAGTGTATTACCTTAATACCAGCATCTATACATAATTGAACTGCATCTCCAACTCCAGGCCGACAAGGATCCTGTAGCATATTTGAGATATATGGAAAACTAATAACTCAAACAACTTGGAGCAATTTTAAATAAGAATGCTGATGGAAGCAAAAACAATCCAATGATTGTGACACGCTAAAAAAGAGTCATGAAGGAACTTGCAGGAGAGATACTTCTGTGAGTGACTAAAACACCAAAGCAACCAAACACGGTAACTAACACATTAGCATATAATAAATACAACAAACTAAATCAACACCTTGATCCCAAGAACTGCGAGTAAGATCAAATCTCTATCAGGCAACACCCAACCACTCAACTCTTCTTCACTTTTGGGAAATTTATCCGTGTCATATGGCCTATATGCAATAGCCACACAACGTAAACTATTTGCAGCCATGTCATCAATTTCCTTTTTGATGGATAACTCCTGCTGACAAAAATAGACATGATGATTAATATTCGAGTTAGCCAAACTCATTGGAATTAAAGAAGGAAATTTAAGTATCATTGTTCTTACTTTCTGCATCCTGAACCACATCCGACCTGAGCACATACAATTTTAAGTACCAGCAAGGTTTCTAATAGATAAAATGGGCTTTGAGGCATTATCCTTTACCTATGGGGCCTAAGCCCTATGTGTAAAATAAAAACACTATTAAAATATATTCCCTCCGTCGCAAAATACAATTCCCACTTTCTTATTTTGTTTGTACCAAAGTCCAAAATATGATTCCCACTTCTATTTTCCATAAAAAGAAATGAGCATGTGGCTCACAACTTTTCTCTTTCCTTAAACAGATTCTACCCACACACTTCCATCTTTTCAACAACTTCCTTAATATTCGTGAAGCCATGGACTTATGGACTTTTATTTAGGGAAAGAGGGAGTATACAGATAAGCTATGTGAGGGCATATTAGATTACAATTTTCTTAAATATATGACTTATTACATAATAATAACTGAAAAAGTTGGCCATTAAAGTTCTGAACATCAACTATAATTCCATGATAAAACAACAAACAAAAAAACTAAAAGTATTGCATGTAAGAGCCATCATTATTACTGACTCAAAATTCATAATCATGGCAACCAAAGCCACCTACACCACTAGAAATTTCATCCAAGTGATACGACAACTGCTTTCACCTGCTGTTGTGGAAGTCAGACCAAGTAATCGCCAAATACAAACAAAGAACACCGAAAATAACTTCAGTGTAAAGAAGAAAGTCAATGGCTTCTTCGGAATGCTTAGTACACAGCACACTTATTTTAGAGTTTCAATAGCATTTGATGGAAAGAAAGATAAAGTTCTAGGGTTTTAATTGGTTTTGGAACTATTGAATAGTGAGCTATAAGAGTAGATAAAGTAGTATTGCATCACACCTTTATATTCTGGTGTATATATGGTAAGGAAATGATTTAGGCTTATGATCATAGTTCTTATGGCAACTAGGCGAGGTTGGGCGTCAGTGTACCTTCAAACCACCTATGATGGAATTGGCTCTATAAACTGTTTGCGCTTCTAGCAATTGTGAAGTAGCACCTAGTCAATGCAACTTTTGATGCTCATCATGGGTCATCTGGAAACAGCCGCTCTATGTTTCAAACATAGGGGTCGGACTGCATACATCCGACACCCCTTACCCCGCAATGGGCGGGAGCCATTGAGCCACTGGGGTAATGTTGTTGTTGTTGTTGTTGTGTGTGTGTGTGTGTGTGTGTGTGTGTGTGTGTGTGTGTGTGTGTATCAGACACACACAATTGCTAGAACCTATTATCCTCTTCTCACAATGAATAGGTAATATAACTGCATTTCCCTTATTCTTTTTGCTGCCATGGTAGGTGGAGGCTTTACGGCACTACCCACACTCAATCATGGTTGTTAAGTCGACAAGTCGAGTCAAGTCGGTGACGGGGAGACTAGTGGACTAGGCGACTAGTCATAGACTAATCGTAGACTAGTCGACAAATCACAATTAGTATTGAAAATTTTAACATTATATATATCTACATTAACCCAACATGAATATATATATATATATGACAAAATACCATAAAATATTAAAATAAGAAATACAAAACCAAAATATTAACTGAATTCAGAAAAAAAAATTGAAATATTAAACTGAAAAAAAAACTTAAATACTAAAATACTAGAATAAGAAAAAAATTAAAATATTAAATGAAATCAGAAAAAAAACAGAACTATTAAGAAAACAGAAGAAAACTGAAAATTTTAAAGTATATTATACTTTAGAGTTTAATGAACCAAATCAATGAAAATTAAATCAAATAAAGAGTATATGATAACAAAGTAAACATTGAGAAATCTTACCCATGGAGGAGAGTCAGGAGAGTCGCTGATGGAGGAGAGTCGCTGGAAGCCTGGAAGTCACGCTGGAACTGGAAGACTAGAGTCGCGACCCTCCAGACTGTCGATTGTGGATGGATTGCGTCGAAGGAGGCAGTGTTTTATTAAAAAAATTAAAAATTAATGAAATTTGGGTCAGGTCGGGTCAATTGGATTAGGTCAAATTCGGCCCATTTCTTTCACCGATTAGGCGTGGCCTAATCACGCCTAAGCAACGCTTTGCACGCTTAATAGCCTAGTCGGCCCTAGGCGCTAGTCGAAGAGCATATCGCCATGGCAAAACTGCCCGGACGACTAGTCGGCGACTAGTCGTGGCCTAGGCGACGACTTGACAACCATGCACTCAATGTTTCTAATTTTCATAGAAACGTTTTGTCTAAACAATTGATTCCAAGCAAGTCTTAAGACAAAAATGTTAAAAATATCTCCGTTGTTTTTTCTTTTAAGAATATTTTTAAAACACTACAATTGCAGCATAAAAAAGAACCAATTTTCCAACCTCATTTTCATCCAAGGGCACCACATTATCATTTGCATCAATGAAGCTATTACAGCAAGATAGAACGATTTCAGCAGCACCTTTCCAATGTATGCGAGCTTCAGAATTGTTCTGCAACAGCAAAATGTATGTAACAAACATCAAAAGCGCAGGAAATAGGAATCTTAATGCTCACAGGCTAAAAACAAAACATTCCAGGTGAAAGCTGAAATACGACAGTTCACAGAAAATTGAAACTGGCTTAGGAGAACTAGCTCATTCATAAAAATCTACATGGATAATCTCATGTTTCAATCTGAGTTACCCAAAACTCCAACTTAGCAAATACTCCCTCCATCCCATAAAAAACATCACAGTTTGACTTTTTTGGTCAACTAGGAACACACATTGACAATTAATAAATATAATCTTAAATAAATAAATGTTAAAACAAATATGAAAAATTTAAACTACATCTTTAAAAACCCCAATTATATTAAATTTACATTATAACTTTGTAGTCAAATTTTGTCAAATTTGACTACAAAAGTCAAACTATGAAGTTTTTTAGGAGACAGAGGTAGTATTTTACATCCAATTCATCGTGAGACAAAAGGGGAAACTATGTCCTCACATAGTCGTAAATAGTGGTATTCTATTGCAACAGATGACCTGTCACACATTAAAATTTGGTATTACACACGATGAGAGGTTATTACAACAACAAACCCAGTATAATCCCAACTTTTTCAGACCTTTTGATGCAGTCCTGCATTCACTGCCCAAAACTTCATCAAAAGTAGCAAAAAAACTTTAACGTGTCATTTTGATCTAGTCCATTTATCTACTCGAGACTAAAACATAGTCAAAATGACTCTTTTAACGCCATTGGCAATGGATGTTGAGACATTATTAAATGGGGTGGTGCAATCCCAATCAGATGAAGATAAATTTATGTTTCTAAATATTCCACAAGAGCCCCATGTCATTCTCTTTACTCTCATTTCAGTGTTACAGAAGAATCTAATGAAACGTGAAAACAAAGATTTCAAGCAACTGATTCAAAGCAAAAGGAATGCAATTGCGCTTGAATTAAGATATGCACAGATTACCAGTTTCAGGGCAACACCGCCTCTTTTCTTTTCTGAATTGAATGGGAAGGCATGGATAACTGTTGACTCCGATCTAATGGCAGCAAAGTTCATGCCAATCTAAAAGATAGAAAACATTAGAAACAAATCTAATACTCCGTCTATCCCAAAAACAATTTCCCACTTTCCTTTTACGCCTGTCCCAAAACAAACTTTACCATCTCTCCATTTCCTTCTAAGGAAAAAAAAATGGCTCACAACATTTCTCTATTATAAACAATTTCTAACCACACTTCTAACTTTTCAACACTTTTCTTGAACTCCTTAAAGTTAGAAGTGGGAATTTTTTTAGAGACAAAGGGAGTATATAACAATCTTGATCCAATCTGCTTAACAAAATATTAGGAAAGAAAGCGTGAATGATAGAATGCGAAGAAACAAGAACTTTTATACAAAAGGAAATTTACATCAACTCCAAATTGGAGAATGGCCTTCTCTGTTGGTGATCCAGAAATCTCAGGTGCTCCACCACCCTGGAGGAAGGCACAGAATAAATCATGGATGCTTAAAGTTGATCATATATGCAAGAGCAAATTCCATAAATGGTCCCTAATTACAAGTGGTTTGCATATTTAGTCCCTAATTCTAAAATATTACATAAATGGTCCTCAGTTCTTGAAAACTATTCTAAATATTTTTGAAAATAATATTGTCACATTTGGCCTAAAGAACTATTTATGAAAAAAATTTCAAAAATTGAGGACCATTTATCTAATATCTTAGAGTTGGGGACTAAATATGAAAAACCACCAGTAATTGGGGACTATTTATGGAATTTCCTCACTATGCAACATATCAAAAGAAAGATATCACAAGGATGATGATACTAACATAAAAAAAAGTAACAATGCCCCCCCACCCACACACATACTCCAATATGTATAAAAAAAGCCAGCGAGTATGAATAATGTTTTAAACAGTTCACATGCTTTAGGATATTAGATTTATGAAGGTCGGCTGACAGCTGGTAAACTATGCCATTTTCTAATTATGATAGGCCGATTAAAATAGTCAAAATACCATCAAAACTGAATGCTACAAGAAAGCATTTAATTCTGTTAGGAAATAAGAATTTGGTATTGCACTTATTCCTCCAATGCTCAAACCAACACTACCGTCAGCACTCAATCCATGCCATTCAACCATGGCCAATGGAAATACATGAGAAATATTTAGAAGGAGCCCGGCGCAAAATAGCGAGTGGTTAAACCGCAAGTGGTCAAAGCTGTGGTAACAGGTGACTCTAAAAACCACAACTGCCGTTCACCAAGGTATTGTAAAAGATGCTGAGATTGTCACTACCGATATATGGCAGGCGAGAAGGGTGAGGCCCCAAAAAAGACACTTTGGTACCATGTTGAAATAGAAGATAGAAGAGTGTATTCAAATGTCTAATATTATTCAAAAGAGTACAGGAGGATATATATATATATATATATATATATAATGTACATAAATCGGCACTCAAGAACAACAGAAGCACTCCTTAGTTGCCTAGGAACTATCGTTTCAAAGAATTTAGAAAATAAGGAAATATTTGTACATGGAACCCAGACTAGTTCAAACAACTGTTAAGCACAACACACCCCAAAAAAACGCAAGTACGCAACATTTCAATGGGAGCTCTTTGTGTAAAATGATAATAAACTCTAATTAAGATTGAGGCTAAAATGGATATTATGGAGAACATTAGAATGTTACATATGACATGATAAACTAATTCAAGATAGGAGGCGGCGTAATTGAAAAAGCAACAATGATGAGCAAGTGAGCAAAACAAATAGAGGAAAATAAAATACATAAATGGAATCATCAAAAAGATAAGACGTAAATGCAATGTCATTTCTCAAGGAATGTGATACATTCGTGTGAGACAATTAACGAGAGAACAACCCTAGATGCTTCCCAATTTAAAGTTCCATATGACAAGCTTGTGACTGCTTTTGGAGATGAACCCTCAATCTTTGGCTTATTTGGAATGTAATAACATGTATTTTCCTCCATAAAAAAGAATGCCATATCGTCAGGATAAATTGGAGAGAAAGAATTAAAGAAAAGATAGCAATGTTTGAACCTTTTTGCACAAGCATGTTAAGGGAAGGGTGTAGTCATGGTTTTCAAAGGTGTTGGAGGCAGTCCACCTCGAGGTGGTGAGGCTTTAAGGCAGCAGGATTAAGCCTCAAAGGCTTAGGCCTCATGTTGGTATTTCTAGGCTTACGCCCTAGGTGATGAGTGTATCGAGGTGTATGAGGGTAAGGCTTAAACGATGTATAAACCTGAGACTTTTATCATGATTTTATGGAAGTTCTTAAAAGCTATTGGGCTTGGAGCCTTGGACATTTATATTGGCTCTGTTTTGCATTACCTTAAGTGTTTGGCTTTAGTGTTTTGGAAATACAATCCAAAGATAGCTTTTAACATTTTCAAAACTAATCTACATCATTAAAAAAGTATTCAAAACACTAAATCTAATCGTAATTGTTTTTTTAAAACAAAGCCATTATTTACTTTGCTCCATCTTTGACCTTTCTAATAACCACAGTGTAAATAGTAAAAACCTAGATTTATATTAAGAAAACCTAGGAGCTGAGTAAAGAAACATCTCCCTCTTTTGTTTCACACTACCTGAGTCTTATACTTCACTCCAGTTCAACGACAACTATAGCTATCTTAGCTTATAGTCCGCTTTTTATCCAACTTTTTCTTTTAACATTTAGTTCCTCTAGTCCCCCCCCCTCCCAATCCAAATCTTTCTTTAATTAATCTTGTGTATAAGTGGGATTTTAAAATGCAGTTGTTTAAATTGGAGAATTAGAGAGTTACATTATAAGTCAATTACTATTTGTATTATTTTTTCCATCATCTCTGATGGAGCCAAAATTTTACCATTTTTTGGCTTTGGGGTGTGATGGAATGAATCAAAATGGATCTCTAAACTGTCTGCGCTTCTTTAATTAATGAAGTAGCAGTTAGTCAAGCAATGCAACTTTCGACGTTGAGCCGGGGGTCTCTTTGGAAACAGCCTCTCTACTTTCGAGTAGGGGTAAGGTCTGCATACACATACCCTCCCCAGACCCTACTCTTGTGGGATTTAACTGGGTTGTTGTTATTTTTATTATAATACTATTTGTATTATTGTTATTTGGTAAAAATACTTTATGATTGGATAACATTGTTTTATTTTGTTTTTTAAACCATTCAAAATCTGTTTTTAAGTTTACATTACTTATAATGATATACCAATGCAGTAAAAGTACTACCCTATTTCACAGTATGAATTATGCAGTTTATGGTATAATTTTATTTAAATAAACTTGAGGCTTATGCCTCATCACACCTCATGTCAGAGAGTCTAACAGCCTCAAAGCCTGATTTGGCCTTTCAAAACATTGGGTGTAGTGGTGAGTTCCCAATTACATATCATAAAAAGTCAAGAGTAGCACGTAAATAAAAAACATAGCACATCAATTGTGAAGAAATCGCATACAAAGGCAAAATGTTTAGAATAGTTTCTTGTTTTAAAGTTTAAAATTCTTTTGAAGAAAACATGTGAGTGGTTCCCGGGACAGCAGGCCTGTTAGGATTATATTGGGTTTGGCGTTGTTTTAATTAGTATATTATTAGTAAAAAGTAATAGTAGGATTTGTCACTTAATCGGATTTTAAATCAAGTAGCCTTTGGGATTACCAATCACCCAGGTTTATATTTCATTCTTTTCTTAATGAATTTGTTGTATTTCCAGTGTGTGTGTGTATGTATACATAAATGTACGTATGTATGTGTCAGTGTAGGCAATATACGTATATATCCTTCAATATATTCAATGAAAGAATCAAGCATGAAAAAAAGCAAAAGAACAAATTACTGCTCCTAGAATGGTGTTCTAGCCGAACACTAAATGTTGGAGAATTTCTTCAAAAAAAAAACTCCAAACTCGTTTTCTAATTGCTTTTGACAAAGCCAACATATCAGAATGATGACAAATAGATTTGAGGCCTAGACAAGCTACTTTACACCTTTGCAAAGTTTTAAATGTATTCATGACTTCAACCAGTATTTCTTATTAAAACTGGCAACCCACCAACATGCAATGAAGCATTCTTTTACACACAAAAATAATGAATCTTAATAATTAAAAACGGAAGAGGGGATGGGGGATTGAGGCCAATGTAACTGAAAATCCCCATCAAATGGGCCTACCTCAGGAACAAACACACTGCCAATTGTATTATGAGCAATGCCTTCAAGGAGGAGAGATATAACTTTCTGCGGCAATTGGGATTTATCATCTGGGGGGGACATTCTTTTTCCACCAATATAAGCATCAACAACAGTCATCTGGTGGACCAAATTAAAGCAGACAAGTGGGAAACAAAGCTATGACACTACTGCTATTGATCCAACTCACACAATTTTCTCTATCATCCCCTGATGTTAAGACAATATAAAATGAAAGCAAAAAAGGAGAAAGATGGAGGAATGAAATTTTCTTGCCTACCTGATTTAAAGTCAAAGTTCCAGTTTTGTCACTACAAATAGTGGTTGCAGACCCCATAGTTTCACATGCAGAAAGTCTCCTAACCTGCAATAACAATTTTATCCCCCGCAAAAATGCATCTAAAAAAGCAATCCTGACAAAATATGTAAAACACTAACGTGCTTGGATAAAACTATAGTGAACTAATGATAACAAGTACACATACCAAAGCCTTGTCTGCCATCATTTTTTTCATCGAATAAGCAAGCCTACAGCACAAATGTTCAGAAATTACAACAATGATTTTGTGACAAAAAATATAACAGCGGAAAACTGTTCAGATTGTGAAAATATATACAACAAACCCAGTAAAATCCAACAAACGGAGGATCTGGGGGGTGCCAAACTGACTAACTCAAGCACAGACGACAAAGTAAACAAAGCCGCGCAAACAAAGAAGAGCAAAGCAGGAGTACAAAGACATGAAGCACACAAACCAACACTAGCAACTAAACCCAAAGCATATAAAGCACACTCCACAACTAAATACTAAGTTAAAAATGAGTGACAGCTAAGGAAAGGCCTTTTGGTACTGCCACAACTGCAATCATAGTTTGTAAGGCGTTGCCTAGGCGATAAGGCGCTGTCACTGGGACGCCTTGTCTGCTCGCCTCGCCTAGAAAACCTTAAGGCGACAGGGCACTCGCCTAGGCGTCGCCTTACCTCGCCTTGATACCTTGGGCCGATTTAAAATTTTGAAAAAACCCATTTTTTAGTGCAGCCCATTTTCTTTTAGGGTAGCCTAATAGACTTAAACTTGTCCTCTCTCTCTCTCGGTCTTCTGTGTCAAGCTTCCTTAAAATGTATAAGACCTATATATACATATAAATATATATATATATATATATATGCATACATACATACATACATATATATGTATATGTATATGTATATATGTAGGTATGTATGTCGCCTAGTCGTCGCCTAGGCGTGCGCCTATTCGCCTAGGCGATATGAAGGTACATTGGCGCCTCGCCTTGCCGCCTTACAAACTATGACTGCAATGCTAGAAAGTGGAAACTGATAAATGAGTGTGATTCGCTGTTCAAACAAATCTCACATGATGCAGCAATATGGAGAACTTTTTCAAACTAATGAATGTTAGAAAACTTACGTGAGAGTCACAGCCAAGGGAAGGCCTTCTGGTACTGCCACAACTACAATGGTTACCTACAAATTTATGTAGAGTTTGTAAAAATAAAAAGCAGTCATACATGGAAAATTGAATCATCAAAAGTACTGAGCTTATACTGCTATTGTGAAGATTTGAATAGCCCCATCTATGGCATCACCAGCTTTAGTCTTTCCAGCTTCAAAATGAGGATCTTTGGTGTGTCCGGTGAAGAATCTGCACAAAAAACATTACTTCCCGTTGAGGATGACATCCATGGCAAAAGAAAGAAAACATCTACCAAACTGCATATCTACAAATACCTGATCATAAGGACAGTAAGAACAGCTACCGCAACTCCAAGGCCAACCATACCAATGAATGTTGCCACACCATTTAAACGGACCTGATGTCAGACATAGAAAAGAAATTACTACAGAGTACATAGGAAAGGATTATCTATATTCAGTCAGCACATTAAATTAAATGAGTGGAACCTGCAGGGGTGTTTCTTCCCCAATATCCTCTGCAATGCTAGCCATTAGTAATCCCCATTCTGTATGAACTCCAACACTCAATACCTGGAACCACATTAACAAGTTAACAACAATCATAAAGATAAATGCTAACATGTTCAATGTTGATAAATTTAGCCAACTGCTCAGCTTGGACAAGCTTCTTGAAGAAAAGAAAATATCACAACAAGATTAGCCAAAAGCATGCATATGTTCAAAAGAAATGCAGCTACAGGCAGATGCAAGATTAAGATAGTTGAACTTAAAATGCCAAGTTCATACCTCAAACAGTTAAGTTCGCCTAAGGTCTAAGGCAGGAGCATTTAAATTTTTAACAAACTTGGGATACATTAAAAAATGGATTACCAGCATGGTCCCATACCCATCTGCTACTTTACACCCAGACATTAGGAATGGTGCTTTTGAATCTTTATGAACCTGCAAAAGTCCAAAAGGTCAAGTTAGCAGAAGATGAAGATAATATAATTCAGAGGTATCTGACCAGAGGTCCAGCATTTACTCACTATCTTGCTTTCCCCTGTCATACTTGACTCATCAATTCCAAGAGAATGTCCATTTAATACAAGCCCATCAGCAGGCACCTTGAAAGGGAACTCAGCAAGCCATAGAGCACTAATCAATACAATTATATCTAGAGAGAAAGATTGCAAAGTAAGGAGACGGGAGATTGCATTCACCTGATCACCGATCTTTAATGGTACAATATCACCAACAACAATCTCAAATATAGAAATAGGAATTCTTCGCCCACCTCGGATAACCTGCAAATTTTAAGCAAAATTTAATGGTACACAACACTTGCCAAAGGAGAAAGCACAACTAACTGTTCAACACACCTCAAGTTGTATGTTTTGCTTCACATCATTTAAACTTTGAAATTGAAGGGATTGCTTGTAGTCGCTTACAGCTGCAGAACAATGAGCACCAGAAAAACATAAATTTTTCTAAACCCAATTTGGCTGTCAGATCAGAGTTAACGGCCAAATTTATACCCTTGAACCAGAGAAATAAATAGCCATAAGCCATTAAATCCTTACTGCTCAATTTATCCATCAAAACAACAGTTTAAAATTGCTCTATCTTCAGATTTCTTCAAGAGTAATGGCTAATAAAGAGGGCAAAGGGAAAATGACTAGGTCTGGTTGCAAATGCATTTTGGTCAAATGTAGGTTCCTAGATGCATTGTAAGTTTAAAACGTAGGAGATCTGAAAAACAAGGAACACACTGTGTCCAAGATTGGAATTTCTGATAAGGGACATTAGGACATCAACCTTGATTAACATGTGCCATTTGACTGGAAAAGACTAAACTTTGTGGAAGGAGATGATAATACTTGTGGTCCTTGTGGGTTACCCCATTAAATTATCCCTTGACCAATTTAGTCATCAACCCCATTGATCTAGGAACATAGTTGTCATGGTGCATGGAGACAATCATGGTGATGGACCAATTTGTTATGGCGATGGCGCAAATATGGTGTCGCCACAAGTCATAATAAGTAATATTTTTTAAAAAATAAATATAAATATATCACTAAAGATAATCATGTTTTAAAAACATGAAATATCATTGTCTTAACGAAATTAAGTTTAAAGGTGACACATAAACAAACAAAAAGAAATATAATTTATGAACTACAAAGTATAAAAACTAATATCCTTTAATTTGCAAGACCCCAAAAAATGTTAAATTTAATTAAAAATAAAAGTGGGAGTTAATTAATAATAGTTTATCAAAAAAATTAATAAATAATAATAATATAATAATGATAATAATAATAATAATTTAACTCAACCCAAAGGCCGGAAACTCCCAAAAGCAGGATAAGAGAGAAGACATCAAACTGAAATGTTAAATAAAAAATAAACAAAGAGTAATCTAGAAGGTCACAAGGTCTTTAATTGAGTTTGAAATTTGTGAAAGGTTGCGACCAGCAAAGGCAAAGGAGTCACGACCTGTAAAGAACGAATTGCGACATAAAGAGGAAGACATAGAGGCGACTCTTGTGAAGAAGATGAGCAAGAAGACGTGTGTGTTTGCCAAAAACCAAGTGACGGGCGAGTCTGACTAATACTAGAAAAAGGGTTTGACCTAAACCAAACAAAAAAATAAATAAAAAAGAAAAAAAGGCGACAAATGGTGATGGCGTGGCAATGGTGCGCTGCCACAGGTCAATCAATCGCCACAACCAAATCCATGGCGTTTTGTAGGTAAAACGCCAATGGCACAAACATGGTCCGTGCCATTAGCACCATCGATAAGCCGCCTAGGAATTTAGGATTTAGTCAATTGCATTTCTTGTAAGTAAAATAAAGTAAATTACGATCTTTGAGTTTGTCCAAGAAAGATGTATAATTATTAATGCAAGAATTTTGTCACCACGGTACCATGGACTTCAGTATCTTTTTAATCGAGTTTAATAGGCGAACCCTTTATAATGTAGAGATGGGAAGGAGAAACCTGTAAACTAGGATAGGTATAAAAATGAAAAGAAAAAAGTTAAGCTTGTGATAACAACAAAAACTACAACTTTTGATGGCTGTAAAATAAATTAGAGACCCAAAGAGGAGAGACGCATTCTGTTGGCACAGAGAAAATGGAAAACACTACACAATGATCAAGTGAGATACTTTAAGGACGAGGATGGGAGGTCATTTATGGAATATCAGCCACTAAATAAAGATAGCAGTTGTACTTCTGCAAACATGTAAGTGCAAAAGGGTGCAGGAATTTGTGTTGTGTTTACTGATTTAGACTGTTCAGAGAGTCAGCCATTGAAATAATTGTCTATGTATATATTATTATACTACTCCTATCCTGCTCAAACTTTCCAGGATTCATTAGAACGGATATCAATAAATTGCAAAATTATGTGGTTGAGGTTTATTAAAAAAAGAAAAAATAGAAACCACCACATTTCCTTCGACATTAGAACTGGAAAATTTTCTTGTATGGAGGGGTGGACAAGTTAAGAAAGTTGCAAGCTCCAATGGAACAGAGATTTTTTTTAATTCTAGGGTGGGGAGAGTAATTAAGTACACACCCAGATGGTAAAATGTTTCATAGTATAATGTTATCGAATAAGGTGTATTGTGCATAATAATTGTTGTATTTACCTATGTCGCTTATGTTTAGATATCTACTTTACATAAAATTATATTCACATTTTGTCCATTGTTCATTTGTGGCAATATTTATTATTATTATTATTATTATTATTATTATTATTATTATTATTATTATTATTATTAAGGTTGAATTGTCAATTCAAAAAGAGCTACAAAGAATATACTGATTGATAAAATGAAATACAAGAAACCAAATAGAGTATAAATAAACAGAATAAAAAATAATCATTAAAAACAACTGCATTGGAAGTATAACAATAGAGAATTTTCACCTGTAACAACTATGACTATGATTACTGCTAGTGCAATGCTCCCTCCATCATACCATCCTTCTTTTATACCCTTACACGAGATAAAATCACAGGAAAAATGTAATGTAAAAATTGAAAGTTTGAAAATCATCAAGCAGTCTATGGGTGCATAAATATTCTGCAATATTCTAACAGGAGTATTGTATATGGACATTTATAGCTTTATTTTGATTGATAGATAATGACATTAAATGCATTAATGACATAACAGCAACAATAATGACATTAATATTTTTCTGTGTTAAATAGACGACAATATCAATAATGACATTAATATCGCAGGGATAATAGTAATTATCTTTTCATTAGGAAACACCCATATAAACAACGTTAAATGGGGATTACACTTTCACTTTACATGGATGACCCAATGGACTGATAGCACATATTTTACATAATAAAAATCTAATGCATACTTCCTCCATCCCATAAAAGGGTTCCAGTTATGAATACATGATGATGGTTAAAATGACTTATTATGCAATTTATGCCCATCCCATATTTTACATAATGTCGTCCTCTTTAATTGACTTATGGTGGGGAATAAATGATGAGGGGCAAAATAGATCTTATAACCTACTCCCTCTGTCCAAAAAATTTCTTCCAATTTCCTTTGTTGGCAAATTATTTTATATCAAATGACTAGTTTAACATTATCTTTCCATTTTTTCCATCAGAGATTCACTCAACCTCTTCACTCTTTGGATTTCCCATCATGGCCCCCAAATCTCCTTCTTCAATTCTTCTTACCGACTGCCCCAAGCACAGCCTCACCCTTTCTTCTTCTTCCATCAAAGCCTCGCAACATCTTCTTCTTCTATTCTTCCAATCTACGCCCTCAATGTTAATGAAGCTCCCAATGGACTACTTCAACTCACCTTCTTCTTCATCAAATCTCATATCCACAAGAGCAGCATGGTGTTGGGCGTGGGATCTGCAGTATGACGAAGCCAGATCTGAAAAAGCTTGGGAAGTGCAACAATGGCGGATGTAGATCTTGGAAGTACATATCTACAAATCTCCACCAGATATGAACAGAAATCCCTTCTTCCCATTACTGACTTCATCTATTTTCCATTTTCAGATGCCATTTTGTTAATATGGCTATTGTTGGAGAAGACGGGGGCAACACGGTGGACGGATGTGATGCGTTCAGAGGTGATGTTGCAGTGATAATTGCAATGGATGTCTGAAACCAGTGAAGATCTGAGCACTAGTGACAGAGGCAAAGAAGACGAAGGTGAAAAGGATGAAGGGGCAGAAGGGAGGAGGAAACAAGACAGATGTGCTGAAGAAAGGTAGAAGGGCATTATAAGAAAGTCAATGCAAATTTCAATATTTCTTAACCTCCGTGGCCCGTCAAAGCAGGAAGAAAAATTGTGGTCAGAGGGAGTATATTTAGTTGCTTAAAAAGGAAAGTGGAAAAATACACTAGGTCAAACCAAAAAAGAATATTGGACATTACGAAGGAAGTAATAATTAGACGAACAAGAATTTAATTTAACACAAAACTGCAAACGGTTTAGTAGCAAATACATTTTTATGAACATACAACAATAGCAATTGTTTCTTACAATAAATGAAAATTTAGTAACATACCTTTAATAGAAAGACAATTTTTGATGAACACAAAACAATTATGAACAATATATTAATCAAACTTTCATTACAAAAATTTAATAGCAAAACCTTTTTTCAATGAAAACACAACAATAAAGATATTTGTTTTAAAACAAACCATAAATTTAACAAATGTAATGGATAAAGCTATTTGTAATGAACATGTGGTAATACATTTTTTTAATGATAAAGTTTAGTTGATTATTAAAAAAACGTATAACAATAATATAATCTATTTGATGGACAAAAAAGAAGATAGGGTGATGAACAAAAGCCCAAATGGCATCGGGAGAAGTTTTGTTCTGCGGAGCAAAAGTCTGCCCAAATACTTAAGGTCAATGTGAAACGAACAGTTCTCTATAATAAATAGCTTAAAAACCACAAGTACAAATGATATCTAAATTTCGTGCTTTCTAATGATATTTTGTATACCAATCATTTGTATTCTTTTTTTAAAAATTTGAATTGAATACATCTAGACTTTGGTGGAATTCGTAAAGACTTCAAAATTCTAATTGAATACAACTACATTCTTATTGAACTTATTGGTTTTTAAAAATCTATAATCAATAATCGATACATCAAAACTTCTAAATTCCACATATTCTAAGAATGGGTAAGTAATACCAAATACAACATGTCCCTATTAATCTTAATCAATTACAACGTACTCAGACCAATTAAACTCACCTCAGTTTTAATCCCTAGTGCCAAAGATGCAGCTGCAGCTACCATCAGGATTATCAAGGTTGTATCCCCACTAGCTTCCCAAAGAAACCTCTATAAAAATAGAAAAAGAAAGACAGTAGTTTGGTAACAACACTTTAGGAAGAAGATTATTGCCAATTATCCACCCTCAACCAATATAACATTTACCCAAAAACTTCGTCCTTTCTTTTGTGGATAAGTGTTAGATCCAAATTCACTACTGCGTTTTAATAAATCCCCTTCATTCCCAACAATTCCCTTTTCAATATCTGTTTTCAGCTTTCCTGCAACACCTTTGACCTGATATGGAAACATCCGAGAAGAGAGAGATATAATGACTATACAGATGGTAATAATATCATCCTGATAAGTACAAACTTTAGTTTATGAGAGAGCTTGCCCCTCCATATTGCTGCAGAGTATGAAGGTTATGCTCCTTAGAAATGGATTCCAGCTCCTTTATACTAATATCAAATTCACTGCCTGGTCTTGGAGCACCTGGCAGTTCATTAGGGGTTCCAGATCCTAGGATAGAGAAAATGTAAGCAGAACTGGTTAGGTGGCGCCTTAATAAGGACTGCAATGGGAATGTGTGCGCATTGCGTAATAGGCTAAAGACGGGTGCAACTTGTGCAAGACCATATTAAAGCAATTAAACTCTTTAATGAAGAACAATTACCCTGCACAGCTTGCCCAGCTTTTTGAAAAAGCACAGCTGCCTGGCAGACAAAATACAAAATAGAAAGTTGAGTGAAAACACCAGAAAATTAAGTGTAAAGGCCATTAATATCATGCACAAAAAACTTACACGTATGACGTGTGCGTGGGTTCTAATCTTAGCTACTAATTGCTTTTTTTCTTCTTTTTTCAAGTCCATAGTATATCGGAATCTGCGAGAAGCATTCAGGACAAGTGCTGCTTGCTGGAAAAAAACATTGCTTAGTCAGAGGTTATGCATATACATGATCAGTGATATGTGACAACATTGAAAACATAAATAGGGAAATCAGTGAAAACCCACGTTTTATGTTTTTGAAATCATAAATAAAAAAAAATAGCTATATACAGAGTAAGTACTACAACAAGTAGTAAAGCAACAACAAACCCATTCTAATTTCAATTCTGCTGGAGTCTAGAGGGCCAAGATGCATACAACCTTACCCATCAAAATATCAGAGAGGCTGTAACCATTAGACCCTTGATGCATTGTTGTATTTACTTCACAAAACTTCAAAGAGAGTAAGAAAAAAGGATGTGACATATACCATGTTCATCTAGTCCATTATTTACCCGAAGCTAATACATTAAGTGGTAAAGAGGGAAAAGCTTTTTAGTTGTTAAATGGGTATGACTTCCATAAATAATACGGAGTAAATAATATACTATGTATATCTTAAGTTTATTTATTGGTTTAACTAAAAACTCATCAAATGCAATGTCACTGTGACTATTTTTTATATTTTTTGGTAAACTATATGAAAAGTGGCTTTGTTAGATCAAAATACTCTTTCTGCGCCAGAAAGGCGTTTCAAACATTACTTTTACTTTTTTGGGGGCAGAGAAGTAAAATATAGCCCAATATTTGTTTTACCATTCCTAAGAAGCAAAAATTGTGAATATATGATACTCCCTCTGTCCCATGACTCCCATCGCATAATGTCAAACCATATCATCTTTCATTACATATTTGTGTTAATCATTTGTAAACCTAACGTCGTGTCCCCTCTTGTTTTAGAGTTTTTGATATATTTATTAAATACATGAATTCTACTTTTTAATTTCGTACCAATATTCAAGTAAATTAAATAGAAAATAACTCCAGTCAAACATCATAAAACAAAATAAGGCCACTATTCTGGGCCGATTGGAGTAATATCTTTCCGAAATTTCTAAACCAATTTTCCAATGAAAAAAATCTTTTCTTGTGAGGAAAATAAAGCTTTGAGTGACTTCCTTTGGAGAATCACATATGTTAATCAACCTGAACATTTTTAGAGAAAAAATGCATGGGGTTCAAACTTGGACTAGTAGATGGTTAAGTGGTACTAGTAACCAATGAAGGTTGTTTGGGAAGAACATTTGTGATTACCATTTTGGATAATTTATTGATGGTGCAGATTAAGTTTGAAAATGCTAACACTAAAATCTACTATTCAATAGTATTTTTAAAATGTAAAAGTTAAATGCTAAAGCTAATGCCAAATATATCATAAGTCTACAAAAACAAAAAACTCAGTATAATCCCAACTTTGTTGGGTCTTGGGGCCTACATGTGTGCAACCTTACCCTTGTAAAAAAACAAATAGTTGTTCCCGTTAGACTCTTGATGCGTTGCTTTATTTATTGCCCAAAACTTCAGAGAAAGTAAGAAGCAATGTTGCTTTCATGTGTCATTCCAATTTAGTCCCACAATCCTATATATAAACTTCATATTGAGAAGTGGATGGTTATTGAAGAAACAAAAAAAAATCAAATGTTAACTACACAATTCTTCCATAAAAGAAAATTAAATTTATCGTGAGACATCCTAAAAAGAGACTAGTGATGTTTATTTTGGACTGGAGGGACTGAGAGAGTTTTAATTTTAAGGAAAATCAAAAATAACCCAATCCAGAATGTTGGTTCAACCTCAAAATTATATGGTTCAAGTTGAGTGAATTCCATGGCCAATTCAATGAATGGCTCAAACCGGTTAGATGTTGAATTCCTGATTCAAATGGCCCAATCCACTGGTTCAAGCCGAGTTATAAACCACTTGCTATGTTGTTTGAGAAATAAATATTAGGCAACACAAACACAACAGAATAGTTTTAATTAATTTCTTTTCACCACTTTCCCATAGTAATCTCCACATCTCTCTTAGGCAATTAGTAGTCAATAAAGACAACATTGTCTGATAGGGCTATCACAACGCAAATGTATCAATGCATCTATGTGAAAGAAATATGTAGGCACGCTCCAACACCCAATAGGCTGTTGATGATACGTATGAACGCTACAAAGAGCCCTTTGATGAAGCATCTAAAAGACTGAAAAATATGGCCTCACAGTAATTAGCAAATCACACAGGCACAATTCTAGTCACATTCTTTTACCATGTGCAAGTAATGTCATAGAGAAGTGAAATTTGAATCATATAAAACAGAACTGAATAAACCATAAACTACATGCCAATGCCATCCAGTATAAGTCTCACAGGTAACTAGGATACACAATGCGCAAATGTAAATAGCATATGCTAACAGACTGAATTCCATTGCACCCAATGGTGCATAAACAGATATAGAATAATCAGGAAACTGACCCTCCAACGTTTCAAACGGTCAGCTGGGGCGCTCTTGGTGCGGAAAATATCAAAAGGATCACAGTTCTCATCCTCGTCAGAATAGACCCTGTGGGGGTAGCTAGCTTCCAAGTCCTCATTTCTATGGCGGCTATAGGGTGAGCCTTTAAATTCTTCTCCACCGCTATTCATCTTCTTATTCTGTACTGTTGCAGAAGAGATGAGGCCACTAAATTGGTTCCCACTGCTTCTTTTACACTACTTCGTTGATCTCAGGATTACTGGATGACACCATTTAAATTCAAATTACAAAATGTAATGCATTTCATGGGTAAAAATATAGGACGGAACACAAAACACCAGATCAAGGGGAAGAGATTATAATCTTCTACAATAGATATTTAGCTACTTCCTAGGGTTTGTCCAGAGAAGGGGCAAACCGCCTACACATCTGCGAGCACATCACTTACATCTTCAGTAATCAGAGTTTAGAGTAAACCGCCCACTAGTTACGTACGCATCTACAGCGCGTGAAGATGGAAGGATACAGTACTTCGAGGCTACGACCAAGAAGAAGAGGCGGTCGACAATGAAAGAAAAACTAGGGCAATTCTCAGAAAGAGGAAGGAAGTTGCCGCGAAGCTGCTCCAAACTCTTATCCGTACGTATGTATTTGGTTGTCTGAGGCGGTTTGGGGATAGGGCAAGTTGGGTCAAAATACTTATTATTTGTCACATTTTTATTATTGAGGCAAAATATTAAATTTTTTCAATTCATTTTATTTACATATTGATAAGAAATAAAAAAATAAAAATTACATATCAAAAAACTACATGAAAAGTTCTTCGAAATAAGAGGTGTCAAAAATATTTTATTTTATCAAATAACCAATGAAAATGTCGAAATAAACAAAAATTCTCGCGACTGCTGAAAAAGCAAATGTTGTGAATATTTAGGGACGGATGGAGTATATGAAGGTTCATCATAGAGTTTAGGTTAATGTAATAATTTTCCAAAAAAATTATAATTCAAATCTGAAAATAAGGAAATCTCCCAAAAGAACGTGTCTTCATAACTAATTTATTTTGCTAATAACAAACTATTTCAAGTTTCAACTCTTCCCTCAAGAACACTACTCCTTTTAAAAATTATTGTATAGATTTCTTTAGTTTACTTTTTTTGTGGTTTACATTACCCTCATTCTAAAAGAAATTGTATGCTGTATTTTTTCACTGTCTTTTTATCCAAAAGTTTTTTTTGATAATTTTTCTCCTCGTAGAAATTGAACATAGATCTTATTGGATTGTTAGGGAGGTTAATTTTGATTATGATGTGACTGGTAAAGAGAAAAAATTGCAACTTTTAGAGTTATAAAAATTGGGCTTGAGACTTATGATAACACAGTAATTTATAAAGGGTAAGCTAAAGCTTTTCATGAAGCAAAACTTACAAGGAAGCATTTTGAAATCGGTGATCTTTCTCGGTAGAAAAATGTTAGGGGTACACCTTGGTGTACCCCATTTGTCCCCCACCCCATCCATTACCACAAAAATGGGCAAAAATTTTTAAAAAAATTAAATAAAAAAAAAGTAGATAAAATGAGTGGTGGAGAAGGGGGTGGGGGACAAATGGGGTACACCTTTGGTGTACTCCTAGCATTGCTCTTCTCGGTAAGTTGAGGTCCTGATGGCTTGGACCCTTTGAAATTTTAGAAACTTCTCCCCATGGGAATGTTGTCATAAGAGATTTCACCATTGATAAGATTTTTAAGGTTAATGAACATAGATTGAAGATATATCATCAAGATGAACAGGTTGCTAAGTTGGAGGAAATCTTCCTCGAGGAGCCATGAAGTAAGGCAGTGCAGTCTGGCCACGACTAAACAGGGCAGCTAACTGGAGGCAACCCAGCAACAAAAAAACATACATTTTAATTCTTTTTGCTTTTTTCCTCTCATGCATCATCTTTGCATTTAGTTTAGGATCATTTTTTAGTTTTCATTAGTTCATTCATATTCAAATGCCCTGAGGACAATGTAAAGACTAAGTGTGGGGTGCGCAAATGCCTCTCAGCATATAGATATATGAAATCTGAAACATTTTAAGCTAGAAAAATTATGCACTTTAAGTTGAAAAAGAAATACTCTTTTAGACTATTCATGCGTGACCACTTCTTAAAGTAATGTTTATATATCTTCTAAAAAACAAACACCTTGACTATGGGAGGATTGTTCCCTTTTTCAAAAAAAGGATTGTGTTTTACTTAAAGTGATTCTAGAAATGCATGACTCATGTTAATTCCTTTTCTTGGCTCAAAATTTCAGAAGTTTAAATTAAATTTCTAATGACAAAAGTCTAATTTTTGAAATTTTAAAGTATTGTTGAATTATTCAATTATATTAGTTGTTTAATCTATAATTATTTAATCAAGTATAATGATCATTATTTAATACTATTTCTCCCTTGTATGTAACTAGTCCTGTCAATGAATGAATGTGACAAGAAGACCGATTATGAAGCTAAAATGTTTGTTGTAGATTTTTTGTAAAGAAGGCCAATTTTTGTTGCAGCTATATATGTATTAGTTTTATTTTTATTTGTATTCAATTAAAGTGTTTTTCATTCATAGTATTTTCACTAATTAATTTTCAATTATAGAAAAATAAAAAGCATCAACTTTTATCATGCGTATACCCAACCCGATACCAAGACCCAATGGATCCGAGCATAGGATTAAACTTCAAGACCCGTCGGGTAAGCGGATACGGGTGAGGATCATTTTAAAAAAAAACAAGTATGGGGTATAGAACACTATGGACCGGCCCGAATCCGACCCATTGACATGCGTATATGTAACATAGTCAATCTGTAAGTTCAAATAAACTCATGGACTATCACCACCAAAATTCATCTCTATCTTATATCCATATTCTCTATTTATAATAAGTTCTTATGTGATATCTTAAGGATGGTAAAATTAGCTAGAATAGTTAAGTAGTTCTTCTAGAATTTCTATCCTAAAAGGGTTTTTTGATTGATTTAGTTGAGGTTTAATGCAACAATTTATATCTATACAAAGATGAAGGGAAAAAATGAATAGTACTTTTTCCGCCCAAGCGACAGTAGTTCGATTTTGGCTATGGGTTGTTCGGTCTAGGTATGGTCGTAAAATAGGCCACTTTATTGGAAAATGTCACATGCATCATCATTAAATTGCAGGACCCGATGCAATGTGACCTTGGGTATTGTAAAAGAAAAATCTCGAGTAAAAAGGCATATGGGAGACGCTAATCTCCGCTCAATCTATAAAATAGGAACGCAAGAACAGAGCTCTCTCTCAGTGCTCGCCGGAAAACATAGAAGGGGGCTATGGTTTTGAATGCAACACATCTTCAAGGACTAGGTCTTTTGGATGAAGGCATGGGCAGGCTAGGCTAGGTATATGCACATATCCGATTAGAATTTTAGTTTTATTTTTACATCCAAAAGAATGGCAAAGCAGGTAGGGTTCCGACCTATAATGATTTTGGCAGCCATGGACGACGGGTCTTCAAACAGAACAATAGAGGGAGCTTTTGTTGCTGCAAGTGAAGAATGAATATTTTCAATGATTAAACGTGTAGGAGTACAACCGTATATATAGATAGGACGGGACTCCTAATACAAGTAGGAAACCTAAACAAAAGGTAACTACCAATAATACAATCATATAATAATAAATACATTAAATATACTTAACATAAATATATATGGTAAATATATTTAACATGCTCTCGGCTACGTCGGCTGCGGTGGAGGACGAATCCCTAGGCTTGTGCAAAAATCCAAGAAGAGAACTGAAGGGAGTCTTTTAGTGAATATATCAGCATACTGGGAGGAGGATGGAATATGAAGAACTCGAATATGCCCCAGTGCGACCTTATCTCGAACAAAGTGAATATCTACCTCAACGTGCTTGGTGCGCTGGTGCTGTACTGAATTGGTGGAGAGGTAGACGGCACTAACATTATCGCAAAAGACAAGAGTGGCACGCTGCAAGGGATGTCGTAGCTCAAGAAGTAGGTTCCGAATCGAACTGGCCTCAGCGACGGCGTTGGCGACAGCTCGGTACTCAGCTTCGGCACTGGAACGAGAGGTGGTGGCTTGTCGCTTAGAGGACCAGGAGACGAGATTATCACCGAGGAAGACACAGTAACCGGATGTGGAGGGTCTGGTGTCTGGGCAGCCAGCCCAATCTGCATCTGAGTAGGCCTGTAGTATGTCCGTGCGAGAGGGGGTGAGTGAGATGCCCAAAGTGGCGGTGCCACAGAGGTAGCCGAGAACCCGCTTCATAGCTGTCATGTGCGCCTCTCGTGGAGCATGTAGATGGAGGTAAAGCTGCTGCACTGCATAAGTGATATCTGGCCGTGTGAACGTGAGGTACTGCAGGGCCCCAACAATGGAGCGGTAGAGAGATGGATCAGAGGCAGCTGGCCCATCAGTGGCGGAGAGTTTCGACTTAGTATCAACTGGGTGGAGATGGGGCGGCAGGTGACCATCCCAGCACGCTCAAGAATGTCATGAGTGAACCGTGTCTGTTGAAGAAAAAGTCCACGGGGGGTGCGATGGGCATTGATTCCCAAGAAGAAGTGTAGATCCCCCATATTGGTCATGGCGAACTCCCCCTTAAGACGATGAGTGAGGTGTTGTAGGAGATGATCAGAGGATGTTGTGAGAACAATGTCGTCGACATAGAGGAGTAGATAAGCTGTGTCTGGCCCCTTAGTGAACACAAAAAGAGACGTGTCCGTTTTGCAGCTATGGAACCCAATGGTCTGAATGAAACGTGCAAAACGATGGTACCACGATCTGGGAGCCTGTTTGAGGCCATATAAGGCCTTCTTGAGCTTGCATACATAGTGAGGCCTGGCCGGGTCCTGAAATCCTGAGGGCTGAGTGGCGTAGACCGTCTCCTGTAGGTACCCGTGAAGAAAAGCATTCTTGACGTGCAGCTGATGAATGGGTCATCCCTGAGAAAGAGCTATACTCAACACAATACGAACCATAGCCGGTTTTGTGACCAGGCTGAACGTCTCATCATAATCCACACCGAATCTCTGGTTAAAACCGCGAACAACCCATCGGGCTTTGTACCTGGATAACTCAACTGTAGGGCCAAGTTTATGTCGAAAAAGCCATTTACCAGTTATGATATTTTGGTGGGGAAGGGGGTACTAGTTCCCATGTGTCATTCTTAATCAAAGCATTAAATTCATC